AATACATAAATTACTTCATCAATATCATAGAATTCAACTATAATTTATCAAGCTTAGTAATTAAGATGTATTTTACTCTTAAAGAATATGAAATTGCGAGCAGACTAAAGACACAACTTACCTCATTGAAATCTTGATTCAAAAGAAATGGTGCTAGCTATGTTAGAAATTCTGAGAAAACCACAAGGGGGACATTCTGAGCTTCCAATTGGTTATTCATGTCATATATAGAAGTAAGTGTATATAAGGAAGCATTTCCAAAAATGGAAATGCGTTTGATTTATTACATGAGCAATATGTTAGCAAATTGAAAAGATAAGAGATTCTTATTTTATATTCTAGCTTGTCAATATCAATAACTTGAATTTCTAATTCATTCAAAACCATAGACTTAGTACTTTGACTTCACAAACATCTAATTTGAACCAGTGCTGCATTCAACATACCACGTGACAAACAAACAAAATTCGATATCTAACTGTGTTTTTTTTAATATTTACTTTTAAATTAAGAAATTGAATAAGGTATAATACTAAAATTTGAATTATAATCTACAGTTTGATACCAAACTTATTGACATAAATTTATGAAATAGTAGTTCAATAAAATTTTGAATGCGAGTCAACAAACGAGGGTTAAGATGCTATTTGGAAAGAAAAGATTGTCATACCAGGATAAATTAAGGCCTATAAACTTGTTTTCTCTTGAAAACAGAAGGGTTAGAGTAGATACGATGGAAGTGTTTAAGATTGTTAAGAGTATTTATGCATTCTCATTTTCATACTTAATTGTGAAAATGATAAGATCAAGGAACAAAAGTATAAATTTTGGTAGGGAAGAAGACATCTTCAGTTAAGACAGCTTTATTTTTCTACCAGGGTTGTTAACATTTGGAATGAGTTGCCTTCAGATGTAGCAGGTGCAGTTAATCTAAATGAGCTTAAGGGAAATTTGATGAATATTTGAATAATAAGGGTGGGCTTTGAGTTTTTTAGCATTTAATTTAGTGAACAGAATGGTATAGATAAACCAAAAGGTCCCTTGTTATTCTTTAATGTTAATACAGAACAACTATACTTTCTAAGTGTCATAATATTTATTACAGTGCCACATATTTAAACCATCAAATGTGTAAAACAACAAACAAAAATACTTTTTATTCATTTCAGAATAAGAAAATATTTGTACAGTTTACTTATGTGAGACACTAGTAAAAACTGCAGACTAAATCAAAATATTTCAATTTTTTTTTATAATTCTCAGCACAGTAAAATTTTCCTCATATAATCTATAAATGCCCTAACTACACCGCTATAAAATACTTGATAACAGACAATATACAAGTTGAAGTTTTATTCTGGAATAAGCATTAGTTGTTTTCAGGTAATGTATTTATATTTTTTTTTTACTGTGACTTAAATGCTAAATGGTTTTTAACATTCTGACTTATAAATCCATATTTGCATCCAAAACAAGTTGGGTTAAAACCTAGGAAAACTGGTAGGATAACTAGCAACAGCTGTTGAACTGAAAATGCCTTTTTAAGTTTCCTTATGATTACTGTGCACATTTTATTTACTTTTAAACAGCTTTGTTAATATGTGACAAAATTAATACTTCTTACAAAAATCAGAACAAATAAACAGACAACATAAGTTTTTCCAAGTGAAAATGGGTAAGTTACATCAAACTATAAAACTGTATAACTTATTGAAAATTGTTAGTCAAAATATTTTTTTTATTAATAAAATTGTTCAGTGAGGTTACTCTAAAATGCCAAAATATTGAATTAGCTTTGCACTAAATTTTTGCTATAGTGTGAACAACAAAAACAAATCATTATAATTAATCATTAAATAGGCTTTTTGGTGTTTTAAGCATATATTTAGGCCAAAGTGTGTGATAATAGATCATGGCAGACTTAAGAAATTTTTTTAAGCAACTTCAACTTGAATTTCCCACCACAAAAAGGAAAATAAATTTATCTACGCTAATCCTTTGTATACAATATGCTTCTACTTAAACAATTTTTGCACTTTATAAACTTAGGCTTATTGTAAGACATGTTCAAAATTAAAAAAAGTTCTAAGAATACTTTAAAATTTTAAATACAAAAAGAAATTTAGTAGAACAAAATTAAAATGAAAACATTTTAATTTCAAAAATTTCAAGACAAGCCATTTACCAAAAAGAGTGTAGTCAATGTCAAGCACCAAAAGCTTTTTTCCTGGTCGAGGATTGCTCAATATTTTGATGTCATATTCTTTAATTCTTTTCTGAACCTTTGCAAGAAATTCTTCCCTGTTTTCAATAGCAATTTCTTCTTCTTCCATATCCAGATCATTAACAATTTCTGGAATGTCATATGGAGGTGCTACTACATCAGCTATTGACTCTTCTAGACTTCCCACCATCAGAACTTTAGTTTTAGGTTTCAGTTTCAATTGAGACAGTTGCACTTCATCATTAGCAGGTCGTCCTACAGGTATCAAATATAAATATATATATATATATATATATATATATATAATTAAAAAATAAAAAAGACACCAGAATACCAAAAGAAACAATTTTGTGAAACCAGATTTCACATTTCTTTTAAAGCAAAATGTTTTTCTTATAATTTTCAACTTTTGAAATAATTTGGCTGATTATGTAAAATATGATAAAAGTATAGAAATACTATGCTTTTATTGTACACATATAACAATTATAAAGGTTCAATTTAGCTTTGATTGATTGCTTAAGGATGACATCAATAAATGAAAAAAAATCTCCTGTAACCTTACTTGACCCATGAATTCCAAAATTAGAATTGGTTCTTTATAACATATACAAATATTATTATGCATTATTAAACCCACAGTCTATTCAGCAGTTTCTCTTTTGGAACACATTAACATTGAACTGTCATTTAAACACTACATTCTTTATAATAAAACCATTACCAAATAAGTCACTTTCATGTATAACATACAGTCTTGTGTAATGAACCTATTAAACACAAAATTTTCAACTCTTTATGACAAATGTTACTTAAAATAGGAATATGATTTATTTTAATAAATTTTTAGAAAAGGTTTATAGGAGGACTAATGATAATGGTAAGAACATAGCATATCTTTTCTTGAGAAAACTGAAAAGATAGACAAGAGGTGATGTTATCAAAAGTTTAAAATTTTAAAGTTACTTGTGCTCAGATAGAGAATGTATAACTTAAAAATCCCAATTTATCAAACAAATAAATTTACCTTTTATTTTTAATCCAAGCAATTTCTGACGACCTGGTAATACTCCAGTTTTTTGGCAGATAACTGTTTTCAACTCAGCTATTGTATTTTCCCCTGCAAGGCAATCTATCAAATATTCCTTCCCTCCCCATTTCACTGTTAATTCTAAATCAGTCATCTCTGATAATATAAATATTAGAGAAATAAACAAATACAAGATTAATATATTTTTATATTTTTCCTTTAGTTTTATATTCTAAATTATAAGAAACAAAAGTTAAACTTTATTTGTCCCAGCCTGTAGTTAATACTACTTAAAGTTAGAGTTAAACGTAAATTACGTCCTTTTCTAGTATTACTATTAGCAATAGTAATATATCTTTTAGTATAAACATAAATTAAGGTTTTATGTTGTTGTTTTTTCACAGGGGGTTATCTGTGCTGTTCACACTGCGGCTACAGAAAGAAACTCGATGTTTTAGTGTTATTATAAGCTCCCAGACTTACCGCTGAACCACCAACTGAAACCAAGACGGCAAGAGGCCCTAAATTTCATGAAAAGTTTACAATTATTTGTTACGAGTAAATGCAAAAAATAATATTAATTATAACTTACAAGCTCATTTTTAATACATGTAGAAAACAGTTTTAACGCTTATCACCTCTTTAAATCCTGAATTATAATTTTAATATTTCTATGAATTGTTATTAATTATGCTAACAATAGTCTTAACCTTATTAAATTTATACTTGATTAAATAATTAATATTACAGGTCAACAAGTGATGCAATTTACTATTTAGCTATGAAACGTATTAATCATCTTGCTAATTTGATAAAATAAAACCAAAATCAATGTTTGTTGAGTTGTAAATTGTATGATAAAATTAAAAATAATTTGATAGTCATACTAAAAACTCCAGATTTCTACAAATTGTAGAATTTCCTGTAAATACAATGTTAATTCATGCCGCCAGTTGTGTAACTTAAGTTTTTATGACAAATAATTTTTATGTAAAAATATATATGATAAAACTCTAAAAGTATATTTTTATATGAACATATGATTGTAATGGAAAATTACTTTTAAAGAAAAAATGATTCCAGTCCTTATAGTTTTAAAATAAAAGTGATTTTAATCTTATATTATGTTTGAAATTTATAAGTATTGTTGCATCAGAGAGGTCACGTGACTAGTATCACGCCATTTCTTTCTCGAACCTTCGTGAATTGTCGGAAGATTACTAGATTGGGGGTAGTCTGGTATATATAAGATGGTCACAACGTGACGAGACAATGTGTAGGTAATGAGTAATTGAACTGCAGTCAGAGAGTGTGTAATTGAACGGAGTATTGTTGAAGTCGAGCTCGTGAGACGTGAGTTGAATGTTGAAATTAAGTGTACCGTAAAGTTGTATTCGGAAAGAATAAACCAGTTTTATCTAAGAAAGGACTTGTGTCGCTAAAGTTTCGTCGGAACGAAGTTACGGAAAATTAACTAACGACTGGAGGCGTAACAGTATACTAAACCATCGTGACCCGTTGAGTCACCCACTACTCAGAGGTTATAAAGAATCAAGCTATTTTCAATATTACACCGAAATGAAGGTTTATTTTGAGATAATTTAATTAAATATCTCAATCCATTCGTGTTATTCATAATTCAAGAAAAAAAATTTGATTCTTGATCGGGAGTAAAAGGAAAGACCATTTCATTTTTCAAAAAGGTGAAGTAAGAAGTTTCGTAAAGAGCGCGAACGGTAGTGTGGTGTAAAATTACTCATGCTAGAAATTTTCATAAAAATGACCCGAAAAACGGCGCTAACTCGGTAACCCGTGGCCCGATTTTAATGAAACTTGTTTTATTCTGTTTTTATTCTCATTTAAGGTGTAAAGTATTCTTACAAATATGGCGCTATTGTGCGCCGTTTTTGCTGTATTTAATTCCAGACAAGCAAACAAAAAAACAATCTCAGAGTTTTAGTAGTTTATAGATAGATTCTTCAAGATCTTGTTTTTGTCATCTTACGCCTTTTATTGACAGAGAAATAATATAATAGCCAATGCTCGGCGAGAGGTTTTCATTTATAAAGTTTTATTGTTGTTCTCGACTTGATTTTCATTTTGTTACCTCGTCTCCATAGTTACTATTTGTAAATAGTCAATAACATTGTAGATCCATTTTATTATTGTTCTTTCTACGCGCCGTTATACCACATTTTCATCACATCATTTAAAATCTGTGGCCTGTGGCCAAATTTTAACGAAGCTTGTTTTATTCTGTTTCTATTCTCATTTCATTACAAATATGACGCTATTGTGCGCCGTTTTTGCTGTATTTAATTACAGACAAGCACACACACAAACAAACAAACAATTTCAGAGTTTTAGTAGCATATAGATAGATTTTCGATTACTTGCCTAAATAAACCTCGAGACGAAATCAGCTTTAGATCTTTGTCATATTGGAATCAAAAATTAAAAAAATATATAAATTATAACTATTACAATTCCTTTTTTATTTAAGCACCATCAGGTATCCACTAGATTATTCTAAATTCACCCACATGTAATGTTTTAATTTTGTTATATTTCTAGTTGTGTAACAGGTGGGCCAAATATTTTCAATGTGTCAGTTTTAGTTTCCTGTTTTTATGGAGATGCGAGTTTCACTCTTAATATTACTTGGTAGATGTTTAAAAATAAACTTTCTTTCTGTCGATGCCTAGGACATTCAGGTCCTTACATAGAATGTTTGATAGGGGTGTCTAATTTGTGGGATGAAAACCCAACATATATTGTGCAAAACACAATCAGCATGCTAATACTACGGGGTCTGGAGGCATGCGACTATTTCAAGCCAAAAAATATTAATGCTTCATTTGAAGTCATGCATGCGCGCTGGAGTTTCTAGAAGGATCATGAATTTTCCTGGCAACTCTAGTTTGTTCCAGGCGCCCTCTTTTTTTTTAGTATATAAGCCCGGCAAATAAAGCCAGCGAAAAGGATAGAATTGCATAGATAGATAAATATAGAGATAGATAATTGAGTCAAGCGAACAGGACACACTGTAAGTAAAGTGTGTGTGAATCGTTATGAATTATAGCGTGTATTTATAAAAGTA